AATTGTCACTATACTGTCCATTAACATTGTAAAATACTATTATTGGGTCTTCAGATCTGATTTCAATTCTGCCAATTTTTCTGATTATGTCTGTTAGAGAAAAAAGTCATGTGGTTCAGCGTCAAGTCCTTGATCACACATTGAATTCAATTGTCACACTACTTTAATCTCCCTTAACCTGGAACATGTTCTCAGTCTTTCTTGGTCTTTCACGATCTTGACATGATTGAAGAGTACAAGCCAGTTATTTTATAGAACATCACTCAGTTTGGTTTGTCTGATGTTTCCTCATGTTTAGATTCAGGTTATCTATTTTTGGCAAGACTATGACAAAAATGACACTGTCCTTCTCTGTGCATCCTATCCAGAGGCACACGGTTTAAGTTGGTCTCATTTCTGGTGATGTTAACTTTGATGATTTGGTCAAGGTGGTATCTGCCAGTCTCTATGCCCCTTTGCAATGCATCTCATGCAGACAGAGCACATACTCTTTCTTTTTTAAGTCTTACTGATATACAATCTTATGATGGTTTCACAAACAACAGTGGTTTCAACATTCACCCATATTATCGAGTCCTCACCCCCTCCATTGCAGTCACTGTCCATCAGCGTAGTAAGATGTTATAGAGTCATTAATTGTCTTCTCTGTGCTGTAGTACCTTCCCCATGACCTACCTATATTGTGATTGGGAGTTATAATGCCCCTTAATCCCCTTCTCCCTCCCTCTCCAGCCCCTCCCCTTTTGTAACCACTAGTCCTTTCTTGGAGTCTGTGAGTCTGTTGCTGTTTTGTCCCCTCAGTTTTTCTTTGTTCTTATACTCCACAAATGAGTGAAATCATTTGGTATTTGCCTTTCTTCACCTGGCTTATTTCACTGAGCATAATACCCTCTAGATCCATTCATGTTGTTACAAATGGGAGGATTTCTTTTTATTTTAAGGCTGAATAATATTCCATTGTGTATATGTACCACATCTTCTTTATCCATTCATCTATTGATGGACGCTTAGGTTGCTTCCATATCTTGGCTATTGTCAGTAGTCAGAGCCCACACTCTTAACCACTACATTATGTAACTACCACTAGGCAGCTGGCACTATGGTAGTCATTGAAGATGCAAAGAGCCTTGAAGGAACTCTCCTCAAAGAGAACATACAGTTTTACTGGGAAGAGAAGTATATGATGTATTACTTCAACACCCAACCATGAATTGTTTTGTGAGTCCCATAGACAATTAGAATCAGAGGAATTCAGAGGTGAAAGTGACTTTTGAGACCTCAAGGTTGGAAGCTGGGAATTAGAGGAAGGGAATTAGAAGGGAAGATAGGTTTGGATTCTGGGCATTTCAGGGCTGTGCAAATCCATAACCTGGAGGTGGGAAGGGTCAGAAACAGTCTGGGCACTGATTTAGGAGGGCCAGAACAGGGTTTCACTGTGTCACACAAGAAGACCCTGGCAGCCATTCTGGGGTCTACTGACAGTGCGGATGTACTAGGCTGAAAGAAGCTGGAACTCAAGGCCTCCCAGGAATCAGGGCAGGGGCTGACCTGGAGCAGCTCCAAAGAATCTAGATGAATAGCTTCCTTGCTCATGGGCTCTCATTTCACCAAGGCTTAACAGCACCAAGCACTTTAACATACATGTTCTCAGGAAATTTTCATGTTATTTCCAGTGCCAAGGCCAAGGATGTTTGGCTAGAGCACAGGTTCTCTATGGAGCAATAACATCAGCTAAGTTAAGAAGAATAGATGGGGATTGATCGGTAGACATGCATGCTCCAGTCAGGATTATTTGCATAGTTTTAGCACAGAGATTCTATCCTCTGTACACACAACTAAGTGATGGAGTAAGAGGTGAAAATTCTCTCATTGCACTGCTACTCCTAAACTCAAATTAGAATCTTTCCAGAACACAATTTTCACCCACTTCTATAGTAGAACTAGCACTTCTCTGAAGTGCCCTTTGCCCCTAATCTGGCTCAGAATTAAAGTGCTCTAATTAAATGGAGACCTCATTATATTTTCTTCTAATCTGCAGCACAATCATAATGCAGTGATTACCTTGAACTATTTATTGCAAATACTTCCATCCACTTATTATTGTATGTCTCTGTACTTTCACTACATTTCGATGAATATAATTCTATACCCTTCAATACTTAAATAATATTCACTTTAAAACTATAACTACATGCCTATAATTCTCTGTAAGTGTGTGTGCTTGCACTGCAAATAGTAAAAATTTATACTGCTCTGGAAGCTGAAACAAGCCATTCCTGAAAGAAATCAGTTAGCATTTTAATAGAATTTTAGAACATTGAAATTTGTTACCAATTAATTTTTTCAAGAACATGTTTCAAGAAGGTGATTTTTGTAGCCTTAGCAAAGGAATGAAACAGCAATTCTCTGGAGGCTTTTGTTGCCTACTAACCAGTTCACCAGGGACTCTGTTTCCATGGAGAACTGATTAAAAAAAAACTGCACTGATATATATATTTACACATACATATATGTATATATATATGCAATATATATGTGTATGTGTATATATATATGCTTTTTTTTGGTTTTGTTTTTACCAACACTGACTCTGGAGGGAATTCCATGGTCAAAGGTGAAATCTCAGAATCGATGACCAGGTAACTGGCATGAATGCTTTTTACTTGTTCTGCTTATCTACACATGCATTCTTATTACCCAAGGAAATGAAAGCCATCGATGCCTATATTGTTTCTGGTGTGCAATCTTAGAAAACCATATATACTATCCTCTTATTTCTGCCAGCATATATCTCAGAAGAGACTTTGTCTTTGGATAATTTTTTGCATTGTTATACTTATTAGTATAGCTACAACAACAATATATGCTTTAGTTGGTTTTTATTTCAAACATATAGTCAATAATAACTGGGACTGCAAAGTAAGCATTTATGATAAACTAATCATGACCTTATACCATGGGATAATGTTCCCAAACTAAAGAAATGATAATCCTGCCCTTCTTTTCTAGTCTCTTAATTTAAAAATAGTTTATGAGCTAAAGACTTGAGGAATAAAAACTAAAAAGAGAGGGAACTAAAACAGAATGCCATTTGATCATCTTGGATAAGGAATAAACCCAGAGTAAGGTTTATAAACCTTCAAACTAGGTAAATCCTTCAAGTTCAATATGGGTCCTCCAATCTGAACTCGATATTCAAAACTCACCATCTAGGTACCCTGCCATTATCACTGCTGGAAAGAATCAATGCTACTGACATAACAATTCTTCCTGAAAAGTATATTTGCAAAGTTGGCCACTCAACAAGTCCATGGAATAAGTCAAGCTATAATACAAATTGGTTACTAAAGTTTTTTCTCAAAAGGTGGGAAATAAAAGGTGAAAAAAGAAATGCCAAAAGTTATGTAGGAAATAAAGATTTTTTTAAAACTTTTTTTAAACCTTTGTACAGAACCAGAAATTTGATTCACTCTGTTCCTTCCTGGGTGCATTTGACATAATCACTAAATCAACTCAATCAAGTACTCTATCATTTAAAGACCTGCTGTATTTGAAAAGAAAAAAGGTGTGTGTAGCCCATCATGATACAGTGAGTCAATCTCCCAGGTACCGTGTTCTGTGTATGGTTCTTTTTCCATGTTAACCTATCAGCTATGGTTCCTTTTTCATAGAAATTCTTCAAATTGGTCTACTAGTTTATTAAGGCAATTGAGTCTATGACATTATTTCACACTGGATATAATTCATTACCTTAACTTTTGCCTAAAGGAGAAAATCCATAAAACCAGTAGTCATAGATCAATGTAAAAATCAAAGGCAAGGATTACCATTTCCAGCATGACAGTGTGAAGAGCTCCACAAAACCTTCCCCCAGAGAAACTTATTTTTTAAAAATAATCATCCAAACCCCATGGAAATGATCCTAAAGAGCACACAGCAATTGAAGAAACATTTATTTAAGAAAAGCTACAACTTGGTAAAGACAGATAGAATCTGTGGTTTTGAACCAAGATCTATTCTCTCCTTCCACCTTCCCAGTTCATCAAGACAGAAATTGCACTCTAGAATGCTATAGTGAAGAATACAGGACTCTTCTCAGCTCCTAGTTGGAGGGCTAGCTTCCTAGATTTCTCATCCTGCCCCCAGTTACCTGCTGCTGAGACTAAGTTACAGAAAAGCGCAGCCAAGAGGTAGGGGTTCCCTTCTTCCATTAGCCCCAACTTGTGGGATGGAAGTTCTACCTTGGATGCAGCCCTACTGAGAATAGTGAAGCCCCAATTGCCCTTGCCCCAGCTTATAAATCAAAGGCTCATTGTGGGGACATCAAGGTAAGAATACCTGAGGCTACTACCCTCCTACACCAAGTACTCAGCTTCTAAACTGGGGATGCCATTCAGGGAGAGGCACACCATTGTTCCTACCCACAGTTCCAGAGCCATAGTGCTGACATTTTCCCCAGGCTATAAAACAGAGAACTCTGAATTTCTTCTCAAAGGAACTGATTTCATTTGCAACAGAGTATGGAGAAGTTTAAGCCTAGGGCATTCTCAAAAAGAGTGAAGGTTGTGGTGAAAGTCATTTAGGATGGAATTGGTAAAATGATTAAAGATCTAGGCTAAACTGCAGCTTGGCTAGTTTCCTAGAGAACCAGAGGAGGAGACAGCTGGGAGGAGCCCTCCTAGAATCAGAAATCTCAAGCACTGACCTCAAGAACTTTCTTCTCTGAGATCTTCTCTTTCTAAGTGGATCGGTGATGAAAATAACCAAATCTGAGCATCAGAAGACCTTCTAGTTTACCTGATGCATGATCTCTGTGGTTCTGAGAAGCAAAAGTATAAAGTAAAAAGGGCTTATGTCCGTGTGTGTGTGTGTGTGTGTCTGTGTGTGTGTTTGTGTGTGTGTGTAAAGGTGACAGTGGATAACTGAGGAATTGCTGACTGATGAATGAGACTGGAGGGTGTAGGGGGAGTATGTGTATGTATGAAAGGCTAATCAATTCTGAGCAATGATGAAAAGGTTTTAATATTGACTTTCATAACTCTGAAAGTTTCTACACTTGATCTGAGCTCAGAATTCAAAACAAAACAAAACAAAATAAAACAGAACTGTACTTCCAAAGAATGCTGGATATGATTACATCAGTCTGTGGAGAATTTATGTACCAAGACATTGTTGAAAACAATAAAACAATCAGCTGGTAATTAGTGCAGTGTAACAGCTGGGCATCCAGCGGGAAAGAGACAATCCAAGAGACTGCTTAGCAAACCATTGTCATCCCAGAGTGTCTTTGGTCATACCCTATGCTGCACTCCTTGAAGATCAACATCAGAGACTTCACATGAGGTGAGGGGGAGGGGGAAAGTGTTGAATAAACTTCATTGAAATAATCCAGCCAGTCACTAAAAATGTAAGCAAGCAAATAACAAGGAACAAACTTTGGGGTTTAGGTCAGGGGAGGGGAAAACCATATTTAAAGTACTAAAAGAAAAATACTGTTGACTAAAAATTCTATATCCAGCAAAGTTAATTTTCAAAAATAAAGGTGAAAGAAAGACATCCCCAAGTTAAAAAAAAAAACTGAGACAATGTGTTGAGATCAGACCTGCCTTACAGGAAATACTAAAGGGAGTTCCTCAGACAGAGAACAAATGACCCAAAACAATAATCTGAATCCACACACACCAAAAAAGAGCACTTGTAAAGGTAATTATGTAAATATATAAGATAGTATAAATGCATACTTCTCCTGATTTTAAGAATAGTTGAATAAAACAATATGCATATAATTATACTCTTGGACCTATAACATATGAAAGGGTAATAGGTATGCCAAAAAGAGCACAAGGGAGGTAGGCGGTAACAAAGTAGTACTGGACTAATGAAATGATGCCAGATGATAACATGAATCCATAAGAACAAGTAAAGAGAACCAGAACTACTAAATAAGAAGTTTAATATAACAGACATTATAAATTTATACTTTCTTCACTTAGCTTCTTTAGAAGATATAAAATTATGTAAAGTAATATTTATAATAATACGTTATTGGAATTTTAACATATGTACATATAATATGGATTTTAAAAAACAGCATAAAAAGGAGAAATAGGAAATAGAGATATATAGTAGTAACATTTCTATAGCTTTCTGGAATTAAGTTAATATAAATCTGAAGTAGATTCTGGTAAGTCAAGCTCTAGACCAAATACTAAGGGAAAAAACAAAAAATGTACAGTTGGAAAGATTATTAAATAGGTTAAAATAATCCATTAGAAAATATTCACTGAAGGCAAAAGAAAGCATTAAAGGGATAATAGAGGAACAAAAAAGACAGAGACATAGAAAATGTTTAAGTGGCAAATATAAATCCAATTATATAAATGATAACATTGAATGAAAATGGATTAAATAAATCAAAAGGCACAGATTTTCAGACAGACTGGAAGAAAAAAAGACCCAATATATACTGTCTGCAAGAGATTTAAATATACAAATAGACTGAAAGCAAAAGGATAGAAAAAGACATATAATACAAACAACAACCGTAGGAAAGCTAGAGTGGCCATACAAATGACAAATATGAGACAAAATAGACTTTAAAACCAAATTGTTCCTAGAGATAAATAGGACATTTTCTAATGGTAAATATGTTGACCCATCAGGAAGATATAACAATTATAAACACATTTGCACCATATAAAACAACAGAGCACCAAAATATATTAATCAAAAACTGACAGAACTTAATGGAGAAATAAATAATTCAACAACAATAGTTGAAGACTTCAATATCTACTTTCAGTGATGGTTAGAACAACTAGAGAGAAGATCAACAAGGAAATAAAAGACTTGAACAGTTTTATAAAATAACTAGTCCTAATAGCCATCTATTGAACATCTAACAATAGGAGAATATACATTATTCTCTAGTTTACAGGATAGATCACATGTTTGGCCATGAAATAAACCTAAATATACTTAAAAGGGTAGAAATGATGGAAAGTATGCTCTTTGACCACAGTAAAATGAAATTTGAAGTCAATAACAGAAAGAAATATGTGAAATCAAAAGCATGTGGAAATTAAAAAACACAGTCTTAGACTATCAATAGGGCAAAGAAAAAAATCAATAAAGAAATTCAGAGAAATTTGAGATTAATGAAAATTCAGAGAAAACATACCAAAAATTATGAGATGCAACTCAAGTAATGCTTAGAGGGAAATTTATTATTGCAAATGCCTATATTTAAAAACAAGAATGACCTCAAATGAATAATTTTACTTTCCACCTCAAGACACTAGGAGAAGAAAAGCAAACTAAACCTAAAATAAGCAGTAGGAAGGAAATAATAAAGATTGGAGTGGACATTAAGGAAATAGAGAATAGAAAAACAATAGATAAAATCAATGAAACCAAAAGCTGGTTCTTTGAAAAGATCAACAAAATTGACAAATATTTATCTAGATTGGTCAAGAAGAAAATAGAAAAGACTCAAATTTCTCATGTCAAAAATGAAAAAGGGGATGTTAATATTAACTTTACAGAAATAAAAATAATTATAAAGAAATAAAAATAATTATATGCAAATGATTAGATAATGGAATTATATTAGATAATGGATAATAGAATTAGGAAACGGAAAAATTCCTAGAAAGGCATGAACTGCCAAAATGGATTAAAAAAGAAATAGAAAATCCTAATAGACCTAGAACTAGCAATGAGGTTGAATCAGTTATACAAAACCTCCCAACTAGAAAAATCCAAATCCAGATGGCTTCACTGGTGAATTCTATCACACATTTAAAGAATAATTAACACCAGTCCTTCTCATATTCTCCCAAAAAATGGAAGAGAAAGGAACAACTCATTCTACAAGCCCAGCATTATCCTGATACCAAAGTCAAAGACTCTACAAGAAAAGAAAAACCAATATACAAAGAAAAATATACCAATATCTCTTTGAATGCTGATGCAACAATCTGCAACAAAATACTAGCAAACCAAATCAGCAACATATAAAAACAGTCGTACATCAAAATAAAGTGGGATTTATCAAACAAAGAATGCAAGGTTTAACATCCATATATCAATTAATGTAATAATATATCATATCACAGAATTAAAAAAAACATGGTCATCTCCATAAAGACAGAAAAAGCATTTGAAAAAATTCAACACCCTTTCATGATTAAAAAATAATAATAAAACACAGCTGTAGGGGACAGCCTTTGTCTTCTCACATGTTTGCAGGCAGAATGGGAAAGGACCTTCCCCCATGTCTGAACGCAGCATGGAAAAGCACCAGCTTGAGAACAACCAGTGCAGTCCTTGGAAGTTATCTGCCCACAAAAACGTATCTTGTCCTTGAAGATGAGCCAAGACTCCTCACTCTGAAAATAGGGAGACCTTGAGGATGTGTGAAAACACCACCCCTGCTTACCAGGCAGCTTCTAAGAAAATCAACAAGGTGCTCTGGCCTGTCCCCTCCTGAGATGGAAAAGATGAGTATAGCACTTGGCTGAGGTCCGAGAAAGGCAGTATAAAAATAAAGGTGCTGTGCCACATCGGGGCTGCAGCCATTGTCTGTCTGTCTGTGTTGTCTGTGTTTTTTGTTCTCTCATTTCACCCAAAGAAGATGAGCAGCACACTACATCTGCCACCCAACGTGGGGCATCCTCTCAGAGTGAGTTGTACATATATTCAGCTCCATGCCTCCCCTTCAGACTGTTCGACTTCGACGGCAGGCACCGTCAAGTGGAGCCTGAACAGGGACCTGAAGTATGGAGGAGAACGTGACAGCTGCAGCAAGAAAACGTGCGTGTGAAACAGGTGAGGGGCGGTGAATCATTTAATCTCTGAGAGTATCATGGGGGCCGGAAACAGCCGAGTCCTATTTGCAGATACTTAAGCATATGCTGCAGACGTGCAGCGCAAAGCCCCCTGGACTGAAGCCTTCTAAACCTTAACCCAGTTATGTAAACTGCTTTCCCTTGGAGTGTATTCTTGAAAACTGAAGTACTTTGATCAAGTAAGCTAAAAAGAAAGAAGACAATTGAATATTAGAAACTCAAATCTTTATGTCAGTTTGTCTGTGTATATGTTTTTATATGAAAAGTGTTGCTAGCTCTAGTCATTATGTCTTGGTCTGTATGTTTGTGTGTCTAAATGTGTAACTAAAAAATATTTCTACCTCCTAATGGTATTGATAAAAATTAACTTAAAAACAAGCACTTGTGAAAATTGGGCATTATAAAACTTCCAGAAAATCTAATAAAAAATATTATGCATTAATGCTAATTTAAGCTTAACTGATGGACATGTCCTTATAGTTATTAGCTGCCAAAGTTGAAGTCATTTAAGTTGATGTTACCTGTTAAATATTTCAAGAAAATGCTTAAAGAAAAGCTTGACTTTGTCTAATGTTTGGTAGAAGTTTTGTAAGTGATCTAGCATGGTTGCTAAAAATAAGTAAACAAGTGTAGCAAATAAACTTTTTAATAATAATACTGTATTAATGTATAACAATGTATATATCTGCAAATAGCCTGAGAATTTTTGTGGTAACCAAAATTCTTAAAGTTTGCTAAGTTATATAGACATATTTTGTACTTAATGAGAAATTGTGCTGTAAGGAAGTTGCCAAAAATGATAAAATGTTCATAAATGTATCAATCTGAAAAATGCTGGTGTAACAGTTTACAGTGGCCTATTTTTCAGTGTTCTCTGAAAGTTAAAGTATCAAATGGTTTTAAGTTCTAATGAAAACTAATATAATAAGGAAAATATTTTGGTATGTTAAAAATGTGTGTTTTAATAAGAGAAAGTATAAAGAATGGAAATTCGTTTTGTTGAGAGTAAAAGAAGGTAATTGTTCTAAAGTACAGCTATTTATTTAAAGGGGAAGAACACTGAATGTAAAAGGAAAGTTGTAGAAAACTTGTGGAAAAGTTGATATAGTCATGCTATGTGAAATTAAAGCAAGTGGGTCTTGATGTCAAGTACACAGCAAAATTAGAATTTTGTTTTCAGTTAAAAAGACAAAGTTTTCTTAAACTGTTAGTCTGCTCTTA